GTACAACGTGTTGCCACTAGACTCGTTGTTGGACTACGCGGGACCAGCTATGGAGGTCGCCTGCAGGCTACTGGTCTGTTCCCAGTTGCCTATCGACGCCTCAGGGGAAATCTCATCTGCCTGAGGAAGATCCTGAGAGGTGATATGGGCCCGGAGTTGCATTAGTACTTCCCTTTACGGACACAGCACCGCACGCGGGGGCACTCTATCACATTGCAGAAACTTCAGTCAGTTGATCTTCCGTTAGTCTACCGACTCTCGCGTAGTTCAACAACACTCTGGAATCCCCTTCCAGCGATTGTGGTGGAAGAGAGGACAGACNGGAGGAACGAACACTTGTAATCGGACCTTCTGCCCAGTGGTGATGGGGCTTACACGGGCATCCTGCCCTCTGCCCTCAATCCTGAAGACTGAAGACCGAAAGAATTTATGATCAAAGTGTCTCCTATTCCCCTATACGGTAGTTCGTTTTGTCATCAGTATATCAAACGTCACCTGTATGGGTAGTTTAGTTACCGAGAAACAATGCAACTCCAAGAATTTTGTACGCTATACTAGAATCCTGGATTCGCGTCTTTGATACGCAGCAAGCATTGGTCATCGGAGGGGTCGTTGCATACGCGAAACAAACCTGTGGACCAACCTAAATGAGAGTGTATTCGTTGAAGGCCCCCAGATTCAGAGGTTGACGACGCTTCTGAATCTGTAGTTTATGGAATGATACATTACTCACAACGCTATTCTGTGACGATCTTTTCCGACTGATAACAAAATTGTTTGAGGTGATCGTTTAGACCGGAAGGACACAGTTGGGTATAAAAGATAAAGAATGCCACAAAACCAGGGATGGATATCACAATAGTTACCAACGACCGCAACGCTCAAGTGGCATCTTTGGATAGGTTAGAGTGGCGTCTAGACTGTCCCTGGATAATCCCGGTCAACCAGGTGGACAATGGAGATCTCCTACTTTGACCTTGAGAATTATTCCGATAAACAAGTAACTATACCGTCATTCACGTAAATCCACTCTTGTCAGGTATGAACTCAAATCGATCGCGTTAGTATCACCTGCCGATGGCAAGAATCCATTCAAGACTATCGCTTTCCCAGGGAAATACTGGTGGATATAGACCAGCCAGATTACGTCTTCGACTACTAAAACTGCAACAAGCACACCGCAAGCGAATACCCTCAGCATAATGTAAGCTGTAGCTGTAAATCAGCGGGGATCACCCATAGCCAGTTGCTGTACTCAATGAACATTGGGGACTNGAGCTATTCAAACGTCTTTGGAAACAACATTGAATTCCGAAATGAAGTCTGAGCTTGAACGATGATCTTTCTCTATCTCCGCTTCTCTGTTGGACACCCGATGGCGCAAACAGTGCTTGCCGAGGGGTGTGAACCAGAGTGTAAGTAAGCTATCGCAATTTTTGCCAGTTGAACTGTTTCAAGTGAGTCACTCCTATCTCTACTGTCTATTTCTTTCTGTGGATGTTCCGCCCAGTTCAAAAAACAGATATGTAGACTACAAATCGCTTATCAAAGTATACAGCTTCACAAACGTTTACACTCAGACTTGAGTCACGAAAAGCCCGACGCCTGTCCTCTGTAATTTGACATTGTTCGGAAAAAAGAATTATTTGAACCGGAGGGGATAGATCAGTGGCTCGATTTGTCAAANTTTGTCAAATACGACTAAACCTTTCTGGCTTCTATTTTCACACAAAATAAACGTCTTTTTCACAACTTGTATTTACCCTCTACATATATACACGCACGCAACCATACACGATCATTTGGATTAACGAAGGACCGTGGCCGAGGGAAAATCAAGTCACTTGCCTTGTGCACCCTCTGTTTCCCAACGATCATAGTCCATGGCATGCCCACGCACATAGACCATGGCATTCAGGGACGAGCTTCCCCCGAGAACACGACCGCGTGGCCAGTACATGACACGATTGTTCATATGACGCTGTGGAATTGTGTGATAGAACCAGTTGTATCTGAAAATTGCAAAGTTATGACACGTGCATATGTGCACTTTCGTGAGACGCGAAACAGTCAGATTGTGCACTCGGTGAATTGTGGATATTATTTTGTATTATTCTCCCCTACCAGCCTCTAGTCTGCTTCAAATAAACGAATCGATAAAAGATCAATAAAAGATTAATTGATAAATTAAACGATTTATCTTAATTGAACAATCATTTCCAGCGGTACCAGACAATGAACAAAAACTACCGATTGCTGTGAATTGCCAAGGGACTTGCACAGCATCACGTTTGCACTTTTTGCGTGTCCGACATGTATGGATGGGTATGCGAGAATGCGAGAAGGGAGGGGGGAAGGTTCTGGTAACCTGTCGTTTAGTTTGTATGACGTAAAGCAGAATAGCTGCCAAATTTAGACCAAGGAAAAGACATGACCGTATGCTAATCGATGGGCGGATAGTTGAGGTAGACCGATTGCGTCCAACTGCATCGAATGTTCGCTGTCAAGACTATTTTTCTGTTTACCGGAGCGGGTCACGTGACAGTCAGATTTGATTATGTGAATTTTCGCGAGACAGCTGATCAGATTGCATGCGGTGATGGGAAAAACGAGGCTATCCGATCGATAGTCTTCTGTTGACCTTGACCTAATTCTGGGGTAATAGTACAAAACATAATCGGGTATTTCCCCGGGATTTTGATGGTGACGCCGAAAAGAAAGAACAACTTAGCAACCTGAATGTACATTACGTAAAGTTTGATCCACCTAAAGGGGAAGTCAGTCTGTACATACCCAAATTTGAAACGGGTTTCGGTTCAGTTTGCATACCCATTAGTTGTGAACATTTCGTACCAATTCAGTCTCCTAATTATCGGTTATGCACCTCTGTATGGTCCAGAATCG